ACTAAGTTAGAAGATTTCATCTCGTAATATATTTAAAAAAAGAGGCATCTATGAAAAGTTGCCAAATTATCTGTTTCTCACACCTTCTGAGTTTTTTCAATTTTTCGACCGGAAAAAAGGTTTAAGAAAATGCAAGGCACACATATTCGTGACTGCCTTGAAATTCTCTATTGGATGCTGTATGAAAATCAAAAAACGAAATTTCACTTTAACTTTGATTTTCGTGCATCTTAAAAAAATTGTAACATGTCACTGAAACTATACATGAGTGAATTCCTAAATCAACTATCATTCTATAGTGATTACTTTTCTCACAGTGAAAACTTTAATTTTACTTTATACGATGTTAAAGAAAAAATTCATTTATTTCTATACTTTTGAAAAAAATTAGCAAACTTCGAGGACTTGTTTATTTTTGATGGCTGCGCGAGTACGAGTACTAAATGTACTCTGAAACAAACATCTATCACCATCAGGTACTGCCATAAAGCCTAATATACTCTGAACGCCAACATGTACTGGAAAAAATCTTAGAATAGGTGGGATTGTACTCTCATGTACTCTGAATATGGGTGTGTGGGTGTGGGTGTGATTCTTCTGAACTACACTACGCCCGCACCCACACGCAGTACAAGTAATATTCAGAGTACACGAGAGTACAGTCCCGCCTATTCTAAGATTTTTCCCAGTACATATAGTAGTCTGAGTACATACTTGGTTTATGATAGTACATGAGTAAATCAGAGTACANTCGCGCACCTCTGTTATTTTTCGTCTTTTTGACTAATAAAAATAGTTAAAACATTTCAATTATTGTGGGAAAGGCATCCATCCGCGACACCTCTCCTCTGCCAGAACATGCCTCTATATAAAAAACAAAACAAAATTAATTTTTTACCTTGACGAACATAAATCAAATATTTTTCTACAGTACCATAGTCATTAGAAAATAAGGATAGGTCTATATGAACAACATATTGATTGGTTGTTGATGTACCATTATTCTCTTGTAAAATAATTTTATTTTCCACATCAGCAGCAGTTGGTCTTATGGGTGCTGTATATTATTGAGATTAAATTCGATTAAAACAAAAAGAAGAGTATTATTTACCTTCTGGTAATGTTTTAACATTAATTGATTTAGATGACACATTGCAATTTGAATTAAGTTGAAGATGAAGTTCATAACTGAAATAGCATAAATACGTCTTTCGGGATATCTAAAGAATGGAGTACAACATGCCTATGAAAGGGTTCAATGCTATTTGTGTAATTATAAGAGAACGTTGTTTTGTTATTTAACAAACTCTTATTGCTCAAGGTTTCTACATGAGTGTTGTTTTTGAATAAATCAAAAGATAGAATATAAGAAATTTCAGGTATATTCCATATAACATATATCCATCGAGATCCGTTTTCGGAGCGGGTGATCATTGGCATTGGAGGACCTAAATAAACATTTACTAGATTTGGTTGATCAAGTTAATAAGATAATCACGAAGAGTAATATCGATAATTTTTGAAGTTATGTTTCTATAATTGATTTTCTCTGTTATAAATGAGCATTCATAATTACATCCGAGAAGTCCTTTAAAGTTTAAAGTTTTGGAACAATTATCATGTCGAACTGAAATGTCAGAACAAGGAAATGATAGATTGCCAGCCACAATACAATCTGTTACAATATTATCAAAATCACTTTGATGAATAACAGTGAAATTAAAATGACTTGTATTAAAGGAGGTCTCTTCTTCATACAGCACAGATTCCAGCGCTAGATCAAATAGAATGAGAATATTATGAAGTTGATTTATAGTGATCTTAATCACTCACTTGTATTAAAGTTTAATTCATCCGATGCAGTATCGTTGAAACGATCTTGTATAGTGAATGCTTGACATGTGTATGCAACTCCCTGAACTACTTGATGCATCAAAATCGAATCGCAATAGGAACAGTTTTTAATATTATTGGTCAGATTTCTGAAAGATTCATAACAATGTTGATCTTTTGCATTACAATTAAAATGAAGTTCATCATAATATCCATCAGGTACTTTGAATTGAATCATTGCTGATCTATTCTCCATCAAATTACCAGAAAAAGTCATATTTGTTATTTTATCAAGACCTAATATGACAATGAAATGCAACAAAAAAAACCAAAATTTTTAGATCATAGATTTATTATTAACTGCCTTTTACTTGTACAATATGTTTGAGACTTATTTTCTTCCGAAAAATTGGCATATTTGTCTTCTATTTTGATGGGTAGTAGCATCAATGATGCATTATAACAAGAACCTGGTACCAGATTAGAACATGTGTGTTGACAGTTTGTTAGATGAGATCCATTTGAGCTATTGGAATTATCACATTCAAAGACAAGGTCATTTGGATCAGCTATTTCTTCACAATTCGCCACTGAAATTAATGCTAATCTCATATTGTCATTAACGGTTATGTTAATATATGCCGAAGTATTTAGATATTTTGGTACCAGTGTAATGGTGAAAGTTGCATTTTCAATATGATAATTACGAAGTTTTCTACCGATACCAAATTCGAAATTACGACCGCCCTTATTTTTAATATCGTAACATGTAACGTTAACTTTTTTGTTTTGAGTACTATCTGGATTAACTTCAGTGACAGAACAATTCGACGAGGTGTTCTCGTATATAGCTAAGTCAGATGAGCTTATAACGGGACAATTGTAAGTAATGAGTCCCGTGAACATCGATGATGTACGATCAATTACGTTAATACCATATGGTTTTATGGGAGCACATTGCATTACTGCAAAAGCAAGGCAGCATATTAGTTAAACGGATTTCTAAGAAATAAAAGTCAGATGTTTACTTGTAGTAGTAGTTATAGCTGTTGATGTTGTCGTTGTTGTTGTAGTTGTTGTTGTTGTTGATGTTGTTGTTGTTGTTGTTGTTGTTGATGTCGTTGTTGTTGTTGTTGATGTTGTTGTTGTTGTTGTTGTTGTTGATGTCGCTGTTGTTGTTGTTGATGTCGTTGTCGTTGTTGTTGATGTTGCTGTTGTTGTTGATGTTGATGTTGTTGTTGTTGATGATGTTGTCATTGTTGTTGTTGATGTTATCGTTGTTGTTGTTGTGGTTGTCGTTATTGTTGATGTTGTTGTTGATGTTGCTGTTGTTGATGTTGTTGTTGTTGATGTTGTCGTTGTCGTTGTCGTTGTCGTTGTTGTTGATGTTGCTGTTGTTGTTGTTGCTGTTGTTGTTGTTGTTGATGTTGTCGTTGTCGTTGTCGTTGTCGTTGTCGTTGTCGTTGTTGTTGATGTTGCTGTTGTTGTTGTTGATGATGCTGATGCTGTTGTTGTTGATGTTGTTGTTGTTGATGTTGTTATTGTTGATGTTATTGTTGTTGATGTTGTTATTGTTGATGTTGTTGTTTTTGTTTCTGGTGCGTCAGTTGCATCATTAGCTATGAAATGGCTTAGATCTGATCCTAAATTAGTAATTGTTTCTTTTAGATCCATTCCCAGAAAGTTAAAAAAATATAAATAATTGGAATTAAAATAATGAGACAGACAACAAGATGGATATACTTTAAACTCATTGATTAAAATGGACATTTTCATTAACTTCATTGCAAGATTTTCATTAAAACTAAAACTGACTTCGTTCGCCTAAATAAAATGCGTTTTTTTATCAATGAATTTGAAAAATAATAATTTTTTACTCATTTTATTATTAAAAATGCCCTTTTTTTCGAATTTTTTAAATTAATTTCGAGAAAGTCATGTTTTTTTTGTACTTTTCGACTCCATAGGTAATATCGCTAAAGCTATTGCACTCAGCAATGACGCTCCCTCCATCCTGCATGAAGTTTGCTTCAGTAGTCAGAGGAACGTCTCGAGCGAGAAGAAGGTGACCTTCTTATCTTGAAGAATATTTGTTTTTTTACTATTAAAGTTCCAATGTTCTTTTCGTTCTTTTACTCACCAATCTTGAAAAACTCGCTCAACTCCCCCAACTCACCGGATCCGACAAATTTTATCAAAAGTTTTCCAATCATTCTCCTGAATTAGCGACGCTCTCCAATCTTGCGGACCTTGGGACACGCCTGGGTACTTTAATGTAGGATATCATTTTATGCTATGAAAATAAATACATATGTATAGATTATTGCTCACCTGATTCAAGTATGGTCTTGGAGTCCATAATTAAAACATCCAGTTTTGGTACAACATTAGCTGAATCAACTGTAGCAATCGTCAGTTGACTATCAGTACTTATTATAACTATCTGAAATTGTACAAGAAAGATAGTCATTGTGTGCATATATTTTTTCATTGTGTATTACCAGTAGAAATAAATGCCATAATCTTAGAATTGCAACATTCATGATTCTTTCTGCCAAATGGCGCTGATTATTCTGGTCTGTTTTGCTTTTGTTGTCAAAATGGCTATTGAATTCCTTGTATCACTAGTAAAAGAATCATAACATAAGTTGATCAGTAATTCGATAGGCTGAAGGGATGGGATTTAGAAATGGAAATTCATCTGTGTCTGTCTATCGGTCTATTCTGTAACACTTGATACAAGTGACCATGACCATGCTACAAATGATCATTTCTATAGTACAAATGACCTTGATCATATCACAATGGACCATTCCAATGGTACAAATAACTGTGGCCGTGATATAAATCACCATTTCGATGCTTCAAGTGGCCATAGTCATGCTGTAAATAACCGCAGGTATGATTATTTGGAGTATCACATTGGCCAATTAAATCGTTTTTCTGGTAATTTAGGCCCTATTGTTGTCATTCATGCCGTCTTAATGGTCGTTGACTATTGAGATGGCATGAGTGATTAAATGGTAAAAATTGTCACAAAGTCGGTCCAGAAGATGATAGATACAGCAAAAACGACCGTGACTATGGCACAGTTGATCAAAACTGATTTAAACGACCACAAACTTGATATGATTGACCAATGATATTACATAAATATGGTTCAAATGCGGCAAACTGAGCTCGAAATTGTCACAATAATGATTCCGGTAGTCATAAATATGACCTGAATGCCCACAAGTAAGGTTGAAAAGACTATAGGTGAGAATGCATCCTATTCCGCAATGTTGAACATTGCAGAATCAGTTCCGCCCCCGGAACCAATTCCATCCAATTCCGGGAGCTCGATTATAATTCCACAGAACAGGCCCAACAGATATCAATCGAGTTCCGTCAATTTCCGGAATTTCGGGAATTCTGTTGAAACGGAAGTCCTTCTAATTCCCTCTCGACTCAATTTCCGGGATTCCATACCGAAATTACTTCTTGTCCTCACCTTCACGCGTGGTGGTGTGGTTGAAGATTAATCCCTAGGATAAGTAGATAGTTCAGGTACGGAATTCCAGGAATTGAGTCCAGATGAAATTACTCGGAATTCCTTCTGATTCCAGAATTCCAGGTATTATTAAATTCCGGAATTGGAAGCAATTTCTAGGAATTCCCAGAATTTCCGAGTAATTCCGTCTAGATTCAATTTCCGGAATTCCACGCCGGAATTACTTCTCGCCCTCGCCCTCACTCTCACGCATGGTGGTGTGGTTGAAGAACAATTACTAGGATAAGTAAGTAGCTTCGGTATGGAATTCCGGGAATTGAGTCGAGATGGAATTACTCGGAATTCCTTCTGATTCCAGAATTCCGGGTATTATTCCAATTCCGGAATTGGAAGAAATTTCTGGGGAATGTGAGTAATTCCGTCTGAACTCAGTTCCCGGTATTCCAGGAATGGATGGAATTCGATCGATGTCGAGTAAGTCTCTTATGCTGAATGATGATCGAGTTCTCGGAATTGGATGGAACTGATTCCGGAGGCTGAACTGGTTTCGAAATGTTCAGCATTGCGGAATAGGATGACCGCTCCTATGGGCACGATTGTTTCGACCGTATTTGTGGTCATATGGACCACATCTATGATCGTTCGTGATCTATTTGTGATCATTTCTGCTACCTTTCACTTGTTTGGAGGACATCTATGGTTCTTTAGACCTTATCTGTGGACATTTGGATCGTGAGTTACAATGCTGTTGCTGTATTAACCCTTTGGCTGTCGACATAAGAGAAGGAAGAAATAATTTTTCAAAACATTTATTTGTTTTTTTATGGAACAATCCTATAGTGCCCTAATAAAATGATGATATGGGAAGCGCATGGTTCCTAATATTTGTTTTCATGTGAAAACTTTTGAAAAAGATACAGTATGAATGGTTACTTTAGTTCATCCGAAGATGAGCCTCTTGACGCATATATAGGTCGACGGCGGTCATAGGATTAAAGAAAGCCATATAAACATAAGTGACCAACAGGAAAAGAACTGATTTTCTGATTTCCAGAATGGTCAATGATGGTTATCGGTCTTTTCAATGTCGGACAATGAAATCGAGATGTTTCTGATAACACTTTTAACTGTCATCGTTAGACCTACTGGCAATAATGCTTTTGATACGAGAACTGGCTTTCTGAGTGACATTATTGCTATCGGTTGTCTGGATTAAAATCAACTTTTTCCACCTTGCAGGTTAATTTCCGTCTCTAGATAATTACCTCAGTCCAGGGTCAACAGAATCGATTGTCGATGAACGTTGCTTGTGGTTATTGTTAGTAGCAAATGTATGCAACAACTTTAACGTTCTTGCTATCAATGCGAGAATGTTCTTCTGTCAATTGAGCGTGTCTTTCACCATGTAGAAAAAGTAATAAAAGGGTTACCTTTAGTAATAAAATGAAATGCAAATTTTGTAGGCAACATAGCTAATATCAGAATGACGAGCGCATGGAAGAGAATGAGAGCGCTTACATGCAATCAATCCTCAAGCAAACAGAAATATCGGGACATAGTCTGCAATTGTATTATTTGAGTTCTTTATTATGTCTTTTGAAGAAAAAATTTTTATTAGTACGAGTTTTCAAGTGAACTCCTTGATCATAAATTTCATCAGAATTGTCAAGACTTCTACAGGTTAAAAGAAAGGAAGGTTATTCTTTCGAAAGCGTAGCCGAGTTTATATCGACTTTATACGACTGGAATTTAAGAATGTGAGGGTGTGGATGTGGATGTGCGTGGGTGGTGCGATTCGGCGTATGGCTGGGTGAAGATGTGGGTGTGTGGTGTGGGTGTGGGTGTGAGTGTGGGTGTTAGTCTTTGGGTGTCGTGTGGTTGTGGCTGT